CATTGCGATTGGTTTATCAGAGATTTCAAGTTAATCAAATCTGATTTGACGGCCGCATTACATACATACACGCATGCATGCATAGCATTCTTAGCTTAGTTATATAACGGACTCCATGGACACACAGTCATGAGAACGTATGAGCGAAAAAAGGAATAGTAGTGTAGTATATGTCAGACTGTGACGTCATACGCCTTGCGTCACAACGAGGTGTGCAATGTCATTGTGGTCAAGTGAAAATGATCCTCCTTGTACCTTGTAGACAGTTACTACTTTTCTGAATATTATAATCATGTCAATGAATGATGTTTAGTACGGGAGAGGCCATGGGTCCAGATACAATGGTAATTACGGAAAGTGGTGACAAATGATAACGATATACGGTAGTGTTAACGGTAGACACTAGATTATGGTCATAACTGTTTTCGTATGTACATTAGTGAGTGAGTGAGTTTAGTTTTACGCCGCACTCAGCAATATTCCAGCTATATGGCGACTTTCTGTAAATAATCGAGTTTGAACCAGACAATCCGGTGATCAACAGCATGAGCATCGATCTGCGCAGTTGGGAACCGATGACATGTGTCAACCAAGTCAGCGAGCCTGACCACCCGATCCCGTTAGTCGCCTCTTACGACAAGCATGGGTTACTGGAAGCCAATATTCTAACCCGGACCTTCACGGGTTCGTAAGTACATTAAAATACCCAACAAGCAAAACAACGGGAAAACAAAAATATTTGGGAATATTGATATGACTACATATTTGCTGTACATGCCATATCATATATATCTTCTGACTGATATAATATGACCAAGCTTCTTAATGCATAGATTATCAGTTGAATGTCTCAGGCTTGATTCCTGTTTCTAGCATGATACGCAATAGAAAGTCGTTTTTGGAAACTATCTCACAGATGTCACTAAATCCGATCCATTCTCTTGTTCGGAGCAAGAAATTATTTCAAAAATGAGTTATAGTCGCGTCTTGTCTATTGGACACCAGTCGCGGGTTCGATCCCCGACCACGTCATACCAAAAGACGTTAAAATATTGTACTTGTTGGTCCCTGCCTGGCGCTCGGCATTAATGGGTACAACAAGGACTGGTCGGCTCGGAGTCAGAATAATGTGTCTGAGTGGGGTATTCATGCTTCACTGCGGCATGGTATCTCAGTGGGCTAGCACTATAAAACCAGCTTGAGTCTGGGCTAGTACAAGCAGCCGCACATACACATACACACGCATGCACGTCGTCATATGAGCGACGTTAAACCCAATTTCACCTCACCTCACCTATTGGACACCAAGATGGCGTCAAAGTCTCTTCCTTGCAGAACCAATATGGCGTAAGTGACGTGCATCGCCTTTTGGGAACGAGGATGGCGCAGTAGTATCTTGACGGTGAGGCTTCATGATGGCTCATGTGTCGTGTCTTGTCCATCGAGCACCAAGATAGCATAAATATTGTGTCTTGCCTGTCTGCCAATATCGTGGCATTAGTGTCCTATCTCTTGTGTCAGAGGCCAATACAAGATGGCTCATGTGTCGTGTCCTTTCTACTGGGTACCAAGATGGCGTAAGTACCATGTCTGATGGAGCGAGTGTAATATCTTGTTTTGATTGAATAACAGAGACAACGAATAAAACAATCATACATCTCACCCTTCTGTAATGTGCTGATGTCATTGAAGATTACCGAATGCTTGTGACGTTCTATGATAAGGGTGTTTTCTGGGTTTTCCGAATGAGGCTCACAGTTCATGAACTTGAATAATGTCACCTTGTGATTCTCAACAAAATGCGCATTCAGCACAAGGAAGTTCTAATAATTTTATCACAGGATGATCCAGTCTGGTTCAAAACACACAACCTCAGTATTCACTTATGATCTTCTCTCTCAACAAGCTTATCTCTGCTTACATTAAAGGCGGGAGTGACATCTGGTACTTTACTGCGTAGCTGTTTGCTGTACAAGTTTACTGACATAAGATCATTTCGTTCAACCACCTTGGACCTTTAACAACGCCACAGTTAAAAAAATACCGTAAATAACAAATGGTTTCTATTATCATTCCCACTCGCTTTTCACATTTTTTCCAGTTTAAAGATGTTGATGAGTTGATTTTAAAATGTGAAGCGAGATGTGTTTGCCCGCCTCTGTGGTGTGGTGGGTAGTGTGTTTGCCAGGAGACCGGGCGGTATGGGGTTAGGTTCCTGACCCCAGCATACCAAAATAGGTTAAAAGAGTACCTTGTGTTTTCTTTGGTAAATACATAATCAACTTGTTTCCTAAGTGACACGCGTCCCTTGTGTTTTGATGGGTAATTTATCAATTTACATCAAACGCCTGCTGAGAGATTAACAATGAATACACTTAGTCATGCGGAAAAGAGTACTGATGTGACACTCACACATGCACATGCGCACAGATGTTTCCGTCCGGATAACCGGATCACTTTTCATTGTAATTCTATGGGAATGGTTTGAAACTTCTCCGTCCGGGCCCAGAAGCGCGGGGTCCGGCTAAGCGAGTACAAGTAATGAAGGTAAGATTCGTTTCACCGAAAAATCGTCCGGAAGGCGGGGTTTCCGGATATACGGGGTCCGAGTAAACGGGGTTCGACTGTATATCCCTTTTCACCTTGCCTGGCCATCGGCATTCAGGGGGGTAAACAAGCACTGGCTAGTTTGGATTCTGATACTGTGTCTGAGTTGGGTATTCATGTTAGACTCCCGTATGATTTCACATACTAGAACAGTTTCACGGAAGCACAAAAGCACGCACATGCATGTTGCTGTATGACTGCTAAAATCTCGTGCAACTCCATTTGACAACACCTTATCTTCAAATAATACTCAACAAAAAAGTTAATGACTACCCCAATAATCAATATTTAAGGATCATATGGATCATGATATGAACTATTAAATACTTTAATATTGGAAATAGGGTTGATCCTTAACTTTTTTGTTGAGTATAAATATTCAACTATTCTAGAACCGGGCCTGACAACAGGTCATTGGTATTCTGCTGTTTGTAGTAACAGGCGACTAAATTCTAAAACTATTATTTACGGGTCGTTGTGATTCAGACTAACAACATATAACATCCGAACGTAATAGAAAGCTTAGAGCTTTTAATTTATATTGGCCTGTATGAGACCCAATGTCAAGGACAATAACTGATATTTGCTAAAACAAATATGATCTTTCCATGATTGACATAACCTCACCAACAAAGGCATGTTTTGTTCATCATCATGACAAAGTTCTGTTCTGTTATGTACTGGTGACATTCACTACTGCGATCCGTTTGTTTATCACGTGAAGGCAATGCAGAGGACTATATCACCAAGAAACACAAACATGCAAATATATTTGGGAACGAGGATATGTGTGACCTGGTACATTTTTAAAAGTCCCACTTATTGTCACTCCACATGTATTTTTCAAGTCACCCACACCTTCCTCGAAGGATGAACCTTTTGAATCGTGAACATGATAGTCTTGAAAAGGTTCCACTTTGTGACTGTGGCCAAGATCATGAGGATCCAGGATCAGAGACATTTGATCGCTTAGGGAAACGACACGGGAAGCTGAGGTCGTTATTTCATCATGATAAAACTAATGACTCCCCGGGGGCGTTATTTCATGGTGCAAGGGCGCGTCGGAACAGTCTTCAAGTGGTTCCCCTTTCTGGTAAACATTACGAGAATTTGTATCCAGGGTCATTGGTCGACCAAGACAAAAGCCATGGTGGGTTGAAGTCATTGTTTCATCATCATGACAAAGGTCGCCGAAGAAGTTACGCTTTTGAAAGTGTTCCATTGGGCGAGTGTAGTCAACAGCATGAAAAATTAAAGTCGTTGTTCCACTGCGATAAAGAACATGGACTTTTGAGAGCATTCTTTAACCATGACAAAGAACAAATGGAAAGTGAAAGCGATGGTGACGAAGAACCTGTTGAGTTTGAAGACTCTTTCATGAACACATCCGCTGAAGTGGACGATGATGACAAGGAACAAGGTCAACAATTTGAAAATGCAGCCGATGGTGACAAAGAACTGCTTGAAGGATCTCTCATTGACATCGCATCGCGAGACTCGGGTGACGAAAGTGACCAGGAGCAAGACAATCTTGAAAAGCAAACCTCGACCAGTGATGAAGAAGAAGAGGAGGAGGACCAAGACACGTCACCACCAAACAGTGACGAGGCAGACGATGAACAGAACAGCTCAACTGATGTTAGTGAGAAGGAAGTTGAAGTGTCATATTCTTACCCTGACGACGAATGTGATAAAATCAAAGAGTGTCCAGAAGCCATTGAGAAGCGGGAAGCATTACCAATCCCAAGTGCTACGGAGGTTGACAGGCAGAAGTCAGACACTGCCAAGTCTCTACTATCCGGGGTAAAGGCTTTCTACAAGAGGGAAATGTCCAAACGTCGCCACAAAGTGTACGATAGTAATATGGAGCTTGAGACACATGCAAAGCCTCAATCCCCGGCGGTTAAAAAGCGACTCAAACGTGAAAAGGAAACGGTGACCTTAGAAGAGAAAGTTGAGAAGCCGACGTACAATGAGGATGATCTTGAGAGGCAGATGACGGCCCTATTTGATGATGTCAAAATTCGTTTTAATCTGATGGAACCACCAAGCGACAGCAAACCAAATAAAAAGAAGTCAAATCTGAAAAAAAAGAAAGTTCAAAGAAAGTACAAAGAGTATGGACAGGATTATGATAAGGGGACACACAAACGGAACATGTCGGTGATGGCAATTTCTTAAAAAACAAGGATTTGGGCGCGTCCTTTGACGGACAGGGTTATAATCGACCCCTACCTTTAGTCCAAGGCTATGCCAATCAAGTAGGAGTGTTCAATGGGACATTCAGAGCTGTTTTGTTCAATACGTTTGGCGGAAAGCAAAAGGGAGTTCAAGGGCTTAAGAGTGCCACGTCCATCGTCCACGTGTACAGTGAATCAGTTCTGGTGACAGACATGCTTGACAGCAAGGTCGTGTTGTACGACCGCAGTGGCCGTGTACGTCAGACGTTCATGGGGAAGGAACACTCGGAGCCGTGGGCGGCGGTGATGACCCCAGATGGACACGTCCTTGTTACGTTACGACGTGATGCCTGCTTTGCTCTATGGCCTAAAGATGCTTCTACCGTGAAGATGTTTGGACATGCCGAACTGAAATGCCCCACTGGGATTGCTGTGGACAAACTGAGGCGGATTATAGTCACCGATGAACGTGCCCATGACGTTTTCTTGTACGACGATTCAGGACGATTCCTGTTCAGATTAAGCGATCTGAAACAGACAACCTTCAAGCAACCAAGATATGTCTGCGTGTCTGGCTCCGGGCGCATCATCGTGTCTGATTCTGGAAACCACTGTGTGAAGGTATTTGATGTGGACGGCGAGTTCCTGTTCCAGCTTGGTTCTTATGGATATGGCGAAGGACAGCTGAAGTTCCCTTACGGCGTTTGCGTTGACCACGAAGAGCATATCATTGTCGCTGACCACTACAATGACCGCATTGTCATGTTCTCATCCGAGGGACAGTTTATGCAAACATTGATCTCACACCGACCCGGTATGATAAGACCCCAAGGAGTGTCAGTTCGGTGTGCGCATGACCGGAAGTTGTACATCACACATGGGGAATATCGGGCATCCGAAGTGATTGTTTTCAAACTGATTCCCCACAAATCCGAACTCAGCGTTAGTATCGAACACTTTGCTTAAACTATTGAACTTTGCGTTGGTATTGAACTTAGCGTTAGCAGTGAATAATTAACTTTGTGATCCCATGTGAACACCATTGTTCGAAAAACAGTTATAAGGTAATCGTTTCTGGATCGCGTTATTTCAAGTGCTTACCGGAGAAGAAATATGGATACGTCTTCCCATATACCAGTGTATTTTATCCCATACAGATTACATAGATACTCTCAAAAGATCGCAATACCCTTTTGGGTGTTGTATTGGTACGTCTATCACATCGATACGTAACCTATTCAGGATTCTCGCCAGATCTAGTGGCGAACAGATATAATGACAAGTGTCAAGGAAAACCAATAACAAGGACAGTCTGTATCAATATGAATAAACCTTCTGAATATGTTTTCATTATTAACATATTTAGTTAACAAAATCGCTGATATATTGACATGATCAAATAATTTAGTCAAGATTAGTTAAACTTCACCTATATCCAAGAGTCGATGTCGTTCAATAATTGTCTTATTCCTCTTCACGGATTTCGGGGCGTTGAGGTAGCCAAGTGGTTAAAGCGTTCGCTCGTCACGCCGAAGAGCTGGGTTCGATTCTCCACATGGGTACAATGTGTGAAGCTCATTTCTGATGTCCTCCGCCGTGATATTGCTGGAATATTGCTAAAAGCGACGTAGAACTAAACTCACTTACTCGCTTCACTGATTTCAACACCTGGACAATAGATATAGAAAGAAATATACTCATCTTATGAAAATAGAAACAAGATTGTATGACGGACGAATAACTTCAACAATTCAACAGTCAGCTTTATATTTATGGCGAGCAATATCCAGTGTTTGGTGGGTACATTATCCCATGTTTACGATTCTTGCTTGATTGTGGTTACTGCATGCAATTCGCCTGTAAAGCTTTCACATTGTTTTATGCAAGGGACACTGGGAGATTATTTGTAAATTCTGAAATAAACATTTCATGTATCATTTCAAATATCTTTGAATAGTTTCTCCATATTCACATTCCTGAAACTAAATGATTTTCAACATCTGAAAGATCTGGTTCACTTTGATTCATTTTCATATATGCGGATACCTTTTCGATCAATGCTCAAATAACCTGGTACGGCATCCTGCTTTTCTGATATCGTGTAAATGTTCCTCTATGACATCACTGTGCTGTCAGATTCCGATATCTGGATGCTAAATATGTTTTCCTCACTTGTCCTCTATGACATCATGGTGCTATCATATTCCGAGACCGCCTCCGTGGTGTAAGACGTCCGCCCGGAGAAGGTCGCGGGTTCGATGACGTTAAAATATGGTACTTGTTGGTCCCTGCCTGGCGCTCGGCATTAATGGGTACAATAAGGACTGGTGGTCTCGGAGTCAGTATATTGTGTCTGAGTGGGGTATTCATGCTTCACTGCGGCATGGTATCTCAGTGGGCTAGCACTATAAAACCAGCTTGAGTCTGGGCTAGTACAAGCAGCCGCACATACACATCACACGCATGCACGTCGTCATATGAGCGAAATATTCTCAAGCACGACGTTAAATCCAAATTCACCTCACTTCACCTCATATTCCGATATCCCGATGTCCTTCGTGAAGATCTGGGTTAGTATTCATCTTCAGCAATCTATGCTCTTCGTAAGAGGCGCATGATGGGATCGGCTGGTCAGGCTCGCTGACTTGACAGACACATGTCTTCGTATAAACTTGTGCAGTTCGATGCTCATGGATTGTCTAGTCTAGACACGAATTTTTGCAGATAGTTGGAATCCTGCTGAGTGCGGCGTCATACAAACCAATATTATGCTGTCAGATTCCAATATCCTGATACTCTATGACGTCACTGTGATGTCAGATATGCTATCATCAACTGTCCTCTATGACATCACTGTGCTTGTTCGACCAAGTACCACGCGTGAAAATCCGGGTTAGAATTGGTCTTTAGTAACCCATGCTTGTCGTAAGAGGCGACTAACGGGATCGGGTGCACGTGGTCAGGCTCGCTGACATGGCTGACACATGTCATCGTATTCCAACTGCGTAGACCGCCGCCATATAGCTGGAATATTGCTTAGTGCGGCGTAAAGTAAACTCACTAACTATAAGTGTAACACATGCCGAATAGATATGCCTTGTGTAACAGTAACTGCATGCCATCTGTTGAACCTGTAAAATTTCAATGTGACATTATCATAATGAGATCGAAAAACGAGAACATATCAAATCTCTCGGTAAGCAGGGTCTCATTCGTTTGGGTTTTCATACTGTGTATCGCGAACTTTTCGAGTGATTAGAAACTAGGACGTTTCAAATATCCTGACAAGTTGACCGAACAGGGTATACAAACCTTCATTGGTTGGCCACAAGAGGGGTTTATTGGGAACAGGAGGAGGTCATTGGGAACAGGAGGAGGTTCATGGGGAACAAACGGTGGCTATTGGGAACGAAAGGGGCTTATTGGGAACAGGAGGGGTTGTTGGGAAGATGAGGAGGTTATTAGGAACATGATGAGGTTATTGGGAGGTTTATGGTATTGGGACCAAGAGGGAGGTTATTGGGAACATGGGGAACAAACGGTGGCTATTATTGGGAACATGAGTCATTAGGAGGTGGCTATTGGGAACAAGAGGGGGTTTATAGGGAACATGAGGTTATGTGGGAACAGGAGGGGTTTATTGGGAACAAGGAGAGGGTGGTTTGGGAACAAGTGGGGGTTATTGATGACATATCTCACACACACACACACACACACACCCAAGAAAGTCATTCCCTACCGGTTTATTAGGTTATTAGGAACGGGTGGGGGTTAGTTCTTAACAAGGAAATTCCCAGCTGGAAAAGTAGTCACGGTTGGAAATAGAAGGAGTTTTCATGCATGAATATATCAAATGTGTTGGCGATATTGTGTTGTAGGATATATACGTGATAAGGGAAGATTTAGTTTGCTAATACTAAATATACGAAGTATTTCGCATGAATAGCAGATATGGTTTGTTTGTTTGTTGTTTAATGCCGCACTCAGGAATAGCGCGGCTATGTGCCGGCGGTCTGTGAATAATCGAGTCTGGACGAGAATATCCAGTGATCAACATCATGAGCATCGATCTACGCAATTGGGATACAATGACATGTGTCATCCAAGTCAGCGAGTCTGGCCACCCGATCCCGTCAATTGTTTGGTCCAGACTGTATTGTGTAAACAAATGAACTTACAAGCTGCTGCGATATAGACGGTATATTAACTATTGACAAATAACCTCCAAACAAACAAGCCTATTGCAAAATGAATGAAGCCAACTTACATTAAACACCATTGTCGTTGACAAATACGTAAATGATGGCGGTGACGAATAGTCAGCAAACACATTAGTCGACCCATATGTTTCAACAGTTATTTTATCTTCACATATACTACGAAGATATTTATATTTCGTGTTGAACTCATGTGCTGATTCAACGTGAACACTTCTGAGTTGAGTCCCATTTCCCATTTTATTCAAACTTATTATAAAGTTTTTGACATTTATTATCATACCACGCGCCACACTCCACACTGAGCATAGCCATTTCATCTTCACCCAGTCAACGGAGAAATGTACTACCGTGGCATTCTCAGGTCCCTAGTGAGTTGGCCGGTTTGACATTCACATTACCCCTCACCATCTTCTTGGTGTCCAATGACAAATTTTCCCATTTGCCTAATGTGGACCCATTGCCAGACCGAGAAACTTTGGGTTGGAATATGTTCCCGAACGATTTGTTTAAAGTTGGTTTTGCACTTAATATCGTCAACTGAATATGCAGGGTTCTCTAAACAATACAATACTTCCCATCAATAGTGTAGACTCACTTAAACACTGACCATATGTTATGTATATATAAACTCTGTCAAAAAAAGAAACGCAACCCCTGTATTTTAGAGATTTTGATCTGAAGTTTTAAGACGACACAGCATTTTTATTATTTAAGACAGAAGTCTGAAATTTGGCAGAATAATAACCAAGATGGGCATGTTTAAAATTGTCATTTCAAAAGTCATCTCACAGACACCAGTTTGTCACCAGGGGGGCGTCTTTCTCAGTATCTCGTATGAGCACCACGAGCTGCAATCACTGCACGGCATCTCCTTGGACAAGAACGGATAAGACGCCGGATTCTTTCCTGGGGAATGGCTCTCCACTCCTCCTGCAGTGCAACGCCGAGCTGTTGCAGCGTCTGTGGCGGCGGCTGACGTTGACGTACGCGTCGACCCAGAGTATCCCACAGGTGTTCAATAGGGTTGAGGTCTGGTGATTTAGAGGGCTATGGCAAGACATTGACGTTGGAATTCTGCAGAAAGTTCATTGTTGCACGTGCAGTATGAGGCCGGGCGTTGTCTGGTTGAAAAATCTGTGTCTGTTGGTCAATAATCGGGAGAAGGTGAGGCTGTAATACGTGGTTGATGTAACGTTGGGCTGTCAGGCTCCCTTCAACGATCACCAAGTCTGATTTCTGGTTGTATGAGATGGATCCCAAACCATAACGCTTTCTCCGCCAAATCTGTCCCCTGTCGGACGCAGATGGGCGCAAAACGTTCATGACGTCTCCTATACACGTTTTCTTCCGTCGTGATGTTGCAAAAGAAAACGGATTCATCAGAAAACCAGATGCGCCTCCAGTTTTGTAAAGTCCATATCCTTACGTTGTTGCACCACCTGAGTCGTCGGCGGAGATGTAGGGGCGTAGTACAGGTCCAACAACTGGTCTACAGGCACGTAAACCCGCTTCTTTCAGACGGTTCCTAATCGTTTGAGCTGACACTCTCCTCAAACCTGGTATTTGTGTGGCAGTCACGGTTGGTAGGGCATGCCGATTACGCAGGTGATGGACCCGGATGTACCGATCTTGAAGGGGGGTCGTGATTCTTGGCCTTCCACTTCTCGGGCGATCGTTGGTCAAATTGAAGTTGTTGTAGCGGCTCCAAAGTCGGGATATCGTTGTTTTGTGAACATTTAGGCGCCGTGCAACAGTTCCAAAACTTTCTCCGGCTTGAACACGACCAATGGCGATATTTCGGTCGGCAGCACTCAATCGTGGCATTTTTCACACAGCTTTTCATGCGACAAATGAATGAATATAATACGAAAGCACATGGGCTTTTATACACCCCTACATTAACTGCCATTTTCATGATTTGCATGTGTTTTTTTTTTGTGCGAAGTCACCATGAGGGTCATTTCATGCGTTGTGACGGAATAAGCAATAAAATACACTTATGCGTACAAATGCAGTTGTTTGGATGGTAATCTTCATTAATTACGTGTATAATTTCAATACATTCGAATAACATTTAGTTTGGAAGCAATAACTTCATTCAAACGAATTTTTCATATCTGAGGACAGGGGTTGCGTTTCTTTTTTGACAGAGTTTATATGGTTACATCAAAGATTGTTTTCTCCAGCGTCTTGGGGGAACCAACTGCAAACCTTATGCAGATGAATTGCTCGAGGATCATGCATTAAATTGCTGAAAAGCATTTGCAAATATCGTGCATGTGAACAGCTACGTTTTGGTGTAAAGTTTTGTTAAGAATTTGCCAATTGTTACTGATTTTTATCATTTATTGAACTCATGACAATAATTTTTTCAACGTTACGAATTTGTTTTACAATACATCAGTTCATGTGTAAACAGTACCTTTTAACAGTATGGAATATTTTGCAAAATTTAGTTTAGAACAGTTGCCTGAGGTAAGTGCTATATTTACACTAGTGACTCTAAACTTTTGATGAGAAGTATATATGATCTGTAACAACTGTTTGGTCAAGTGAATCTGCAATTAATATGTATATTGTCTAGTGTGTGAGGATAAGTGTTACTGGTCAAGTGAATCTGCAGCGGTCATCTGTATTGTATGGTTGAGGAAGGCAGGTGTGATTTGTTCACGGGACTCTGGCCGACTGTGAGACCAGCAACAAAAGACTGACACCAGGGGTCAAGCGGTCATCCGACTGGAACCAATCGGATTAACCGAGGTTGAAATTGGCAAGCATTTTCCACCACGATCTTCAGCTGATGTGTTTATCTCAGGAGATAACTGACATAGAGCTCCTAGGAAAACTGTCAATATCGGATGATTGATGAAGGCCATAATGACAGTATTCAGGATTGCGATACGTGTATGTGACGTAGCACATAAGCTCCGCCCACTGATGAATATTCATGATTATTCTACACTTAAGCCCATTCTACAGTTAAGGTCACAACACACGTCCTATCCATCATTCACCTGTATCGAGACAAATCCGATGTTTCGAATTGCAAGTTATTTGCAATTGTACCAGACACCAATAACTGCCTGTCCATCCATGTTTGCTTGAGTGAGTGAGTAAGTGAGTGAGTATGTCAAACTGGTTTGATACATGTTAGGATATACCTCACTTACCGACATACTGCAAAGATAAAGAAGGGTTACTGCCTCGGTAAAATTATGTTATGATTACACAATGCCATTTAGAAATTGGTCAAATGTAACATGTTATATATTTGGGATTACACTTTCTTAGTAATCCCAAATATAACATATGTGCCGGCGATTAAGTGCCTGACTCTGAGGGTATTGGTTCGAATCCCGGATGGGACTCAACCCAACAAAAGTACTAGAATCTGTACTTTGCTAAGAAAATGTAATCCCAAATATAACATATGTTAGAAATTATTTTAATAAACACAGAATATCAACACATTGTTTTGTTTTTCCCCTTTAAATAAACAATAAGATCTTTTGGTCATCGACATGATTTGTAAAAAAAACCCACCCTTTCTTCAATTGTAAAAAATAGCTTTGCACGTTTCACGCAATATATTGCAATGCGAGTTGCAAAAGCCAGATCATATCTCAATATATCACAATACAATATTTTCAGTCCTACCAGTTGTATGACGGATGTCTGTAAATAATCGAAGTTAGACAAATCAGGCCAGTGATTGCCACTTGATCTTTGAATCCGGGATACGGTGACATCCACAAGTCTAAAACCGCCATGGGTTGCTGAAACCAAGTGTAAACTGAATCTTACGAGGTACACACATTAACTAACCGCTCACTGACGTCTACAGAGAATGGGAGTGTGCTCACGGACACTGCAATTGTTTGGGGAATTCCTAAGATTATAAGAAAATATTTGTGTCGCTTTTATTTACGCGTATCCCGCGTTTGTAAAATTTATTGCACTCGGGGCATCCCTGTTGTTTAGGAATTATCACGCCTACCTGGCTTCTTAATAAGAGAAAAACACATTGTATGTACCGTAAACACCCTGTTTCCGTCCTTTTATAAACAAATCTAAAATGTCTGACATTATATTGTCATGAAGAATGAAAATGAATAACCTTCCAATGTCTATATCTCACTCCACACAACTAAGGAAAAACGTAATTTCCCAAAATAACATTTTCTCTGTTGGTGAGGCGCCCGATATGATCACAGGTACACAAACATGTCTCCTCACGTACACTTGCACCTCCTAATTGTTACCCGATACCACAAGGGTAACCTATTCATCCAGGAGCACCAATCCCAGAAAACAACACCACAGAGTGCGCATTGATTAAACAGTTGTATGGTGCATAGGAGGAAAACGATATGCTAGCAGCTTTGTAATCCATTTCAAATTCATTCTGTTTTACAGGTACAATAAAACTGTCTCTAAAAAACATTAATGAAGCGATCAGGTATGCATGCAGTACTGACAGACACTATAGTAAGTAAAATATTCCATGGAAGATATCATAAACTAGATATGTCCTTACGTCCTGGTTAAACGTATTAACAGCTTAAATATCAGTTACATTCTAATAATATCTCTTCGTCATCTTATAATTCATGTGTCTAAGCAGCTATATGACGTTATAACATATTTAACATCCATTACATTCCAATAATAGCGGATCGTCATCTTATAATGCATGTGTCGAAGTAACTATATGACGTTATAACAGCGTTAACGTCAGTTAATAATAGCGGCTTGTCATCTTATAATGCATGTGTCGAAGTAACTATATGACGTTATTACAGCTTTAACGTCAGTTAATAATAGCGGATTGTCATCTTATAATGCATGTGTCGAAGTAACTATATGACGTAACACATTTAACGTCAGTTACATTGTGATAAAAGCAGATCGTAATCTTATAACGCGCAACGCGTCTTTCGAAGTAACTGTATGACGTTATAACAGATATAACGTCAGTTACATTCTAATAATAGCAGATCGTCATCGTATAATGCATGTGTCGAAGTAACAATATGACTTTATTACACATTTAACGTCAGTTACATTCTATTAATGGCAGATAGTCATCGTATAATGCATTTGTCGATGTAGCGATATGACGTTATAGTTGACGTGTCAAAATAGTATGTTCTTGTCCACAGCCAGTCAGATGACGCCGTGACTCATTTTCATCAGCACACAACTTATCTAAAGGATTACAACATACTGCAACGAGATCAGATAAGGTGTGTTTCATAAAACAGCTCACACTCGGAACAAGGTTGAATGGTAATGCAACCACGCACTCTAGCTATGCACTGCAAGTGCATTCAAATAGGACTGGTGGCACAGTCCATGTACTCGGATGTTGACGCTAATGCAGGAACAACAGTGAGTGAGTGAGTTTAGGTTTATGCCGCTTTCAGCAATATCACGGCAGGGGACACCAGAAAAGGGCTTCACACATTGTATGGGGAATCGAACCCGGGTCTTCGGCGTGACGAGCAAACGCTTTAAACACTAGGCTACCCCACCGTTCCTCAGGAGCAACAGAACAGACACCTCGAGAGATTTGTCCCTGGTTCTGTTTATCGATAGAAATATGAAAAATGAAATAAACATGCTTATTGAAACAATTGATTCTTTGTCGAGTGACATAAAGCATTTTTAACGGAATATGTGTGTGTTTTCGTGGGGTAAAAATAAAACAGAAAATGACTTGCATTTCCCAGCACCACGATCCATACTAGATCCATGGCAGATTTGCACTGTTTAGTTTTGAGAGACCGACAGATGATCACGTGGTGTGGATAAACATCTTCATACTCATGTAGTGAGTGAGTTTAGTTTTACGCCGCTTTTGGCAATATTCCAGCAATATCACGGCGGGGGACACCAGTAATGGCCTTCACACATTGTACCCATGTGGGGAATCGAACCCGGGTCTTCGGCGTGACGACCGAACGCTTTAACCACTATGCTACCCCATCGCCCCCTCAGGTTCATATAAAAGACCATGCAATGCAATAATCGAAACAAAACGCGATATTTATTTATATTTTTGTGTGAGCAGTTGGTTCTGGCTGTTACTTAAGTAACATATGATGGCGTGCTGAAGGAAAGCACAATATAATGACGATCAAAGGGAACGCAACTCTGCACAGACCACTTACACGACTCGCCCAACAGGCCCTGAGGCGGACGCTAACTCCATTCATGTCCAGCATTGTTCCTCTTGACGATGGAGACAACGCCATGATTGTCACATGATCCACCTCCTTGCTTCCCGTGATACGCCAATCCGGTTCATCTTATCGCCATGACCTTCAGCGCACTCACCCGTACCATACCATTGGAGTGGGTACTAAAGTAAATATAGTAGGCCACAGACCTTGATGACAAAGCTGTAGCACAACCATCTGTATGACGCCAGATGCCGTATCACGTTTCGTTGGCTAAGGTGTCCAACTCCTACCACAACCACGTCGACATAACCGACGAGCTTCCATCAGCTGGCAGCATGGATTTTCTTCGGAGAGCTGTCTCTAAACAGCGTCGATTATCCCACTTAGAAGATGGAGGCGGCTCATCAAAAGGTATTAATACTTTCAATTTATTGATTTATGAATGAACTAATGTGTTAAAAAGGATTTGTTTAAAAACTCTTGTAAATACCAGATAAAAACAGCTGATATCAGTTTATTATTACAGTTTGTTTCATTTACTCAAAGTATATACCCGCTACCTAATGAATGGTAGATGTAATATTCTTGAATGTTTTGGTGTTTTTTATAAATATTTTTTATCACAATGAAATCCCGTACAGTCATATGACCCTTGTCGGTAATATTCGAGTCTGGACTAGACAATCTTGGATGAAGATTTGTTCCATCAATATATGAAACGCTGTATAAAAACATATACAAGGTATAACAATTAGTAAACTACACGCATAGGGGAATGTATATTGTCCCGGGGTATAGTGAATATACATTGTTTCAGAACGGTTTCTATATCTCACTATTCTGTTCAAAAATTGAGTAGTATTAATGCGCGATTTCATACAGTAATGTGAGCGCAGAAGGTTTAACAATGTAATTTCTAGCAACGCAAATATGCGAAAAAAAGTTTTTTTTGATAAGCGGTACTGTGCCAAAATATGGGACACGTTTTCGAACTAACACGAATTTACCAATATTTTCGTCACACTCAAATTCCTTAATCATTTCGGTAAAGTGTTTGAAGTAACGATAGTTCTTGATAAAAAGTCGAGCGTTGAGGTTAGAAATTGAACCTTTACCACCCGATTTAAAGTCATTCCCCTCTCTACATATCGCCCCGAGCCCTCTCATTCCCCCTACCCATCGCCACCCTAGCTCACACCTTCCATCTCACCCCCCACCTACCAATCCCCACACCTCCATCTCACCCCCAACCCCTACCCTACCCATCCATCTCACACCCTCCATCTCATCATCCCTTACCCGTTCCCCTCCATCTCATAACACCCTGCTTGCCCACACTGTCTCGTGAACACTTCACGCCCGCCCTCCATCTCTTCACCCCCTCCCCACACCACCCTGGGGACATGTTGTGTATGTATGTTATTTCATTATCTGGTGTGCATGTCCATAGGCTATTTATATCGACAGAGCGGCTGTATTGTGAAAGTTAATGCTGTTGTTTTTTACTCGTTGTAACAAATGTCGAACCACGTCATGACAATGAGTGAAGTTGAAAAGAGCTTACAGCAGTGACATGGGATAATCTGCCCAATACAACCGGAATGACCTGTCTGATGCCGGACCATTGCGATACATGAGCACACACTGTGAATGTCACTTCATGGTCTGTGTTCCACGAAATACTGGAAAATGTTTTCCGAAAAAAAAGCGTATAATGTATATGAGTGATTCATGAAAGAAAACCTTTTCTATAAAACAGAATAACATTTTTTATCCTTTATTAGGAGAGCAAAGTTGTATGTTGGGAAAACCTGCGTTGTCAAGCACAAAAGAGGACATTTTAAAAAATGACCTCAACACGATTAAGAAATTACATGCGTGTGTGCAATGTCTCGTGGAATGTCAAATGATCAGTCCGTTAGAAGGTTTCCCTTGACAGTCTTCGTTGACTGTGTCATGTTGGAATTCGAACCACCTGCTTTAAAACCCATATAGCCATCCTTTAAGGTTAATAGAAATGGTCATTTCGTGATTTTATTAAGAATGGGGATGAGGCATGTATAAGTAAATAAGATGGATTGTGTTTACACCCCTTTGAGAAGTATTCGACGTCAAACATGTACACTTGTGGAGAATCGAACCCGGTCCTTCTGTGAGTGACGAGTGGAGGCATGAACAACAAGGCTCTCCCACCACCTGTCTGTGAAATTACACGTGTGCTTCAAAGCTAAAATATAACATATTGTGTGAGGGAGTGAGAATTGCCGTTGTGGGTAATTAATCTTTCCACATCCGAGCATATATAACGTATTGATGCCAAGTTATCAGCTTGACGGATGAGGCTACAATCATCCGCCACTTTCCTTTGACAAAATACATCTACCCCTGATTGAAATATATAATTGTTTTGCAGATTCATTATCTACAGATGACGATAGCACATCAAAGAATGGAATATTTCATATTCCGCTGACGTGCAATATCGAGATGACGTCGCTCTCATCCTTAACATCTTTGTCGTCGTCCAACTACTCCTCCAGGGAAAACAGCCCCAAACCTCATCCAAAGAGAGTTTCATTCTCAGATGACATTGTCTTCAATGAACCTGACTTTCCCCTTTCTTCTGCCGACGACAAGGTGTCAATGGAATCCCCGTTTTCAAGGGACGGGAGGTTGCCGACAGAAAGAAGGTCACTGACGGAGGGGAGCTTGACGCCGGAGAGAAGGTCACGGAAGGTTGGAAGCTTGTCAACCGAGAGACGATTATTGAGCAAAAAGAACTTGCAAACAGGCATCTCAGAGAGACAGTTGGATGAGAGTCGAATTTTGACGGAGAATTTTCAGTCGGACGATGATTCGGACTCAGATTCGGAATCGGAGAGTCAGTTTCCCGAGAAATTCCGTGCAGTATTGTTTAATAAATTCGGAGCTAAGCGCTACACAGGGCCTGCGATCAAGGACGCCAAATCCGTCTCCCATGTGTACAAAGGAGCTGTATTAGTGACTGATTTCCTGGACAGCAAAGTAGTTTTGTATGAAAGAAGTGGTAAGCCACGGCGCACCTTCATAACCAAGGAGAGCTCAGAGCCTTGGTGTGCGACGATGACGCCCGACGGACACGTCGCCGTGACGTTGCGACGTCAGCACTGTGTTGCGTTGTGGACAAATGACGGCACATCGATGGAAGTCTTCGGCAGCGGTTTGTTACGGTGCCCTGCTGGTTTGGCGGTTGACAAAACCGGGAGGGTCTTTGTTGCAGATGAACAACTCAGTGAAGTATTTGTATTCGACCAGGAAGGGACCGTTTTATTCAAACTATCCGATTTTCACCAAGCTGCCTTCAAACAGCCTCGATATGTTTGCTGTTCTCATTCTGGTCGTATCATCGTGGCTGATTCGGGCAACCACTGTGTGAAAGTGTTTGCTTCTAATGGCAACTTCCTGTTCAAGTTTGGGACCTATGGGAAATCGAACGGCCAGTTCAGGTTTCCTTATGGCGTGTGTGTTGACCAGCACGACAACATTATCGTCGCCGACCACCACAACGACAGAGTGGTCATGTTTTCTGCAACGGGACAGTACATTCAGAATCTTGTCACACCTACGGCTGGGCTGAGAAGTCCGTGTGGCGTCTCCATTAGATGTGCGCATAACCGGAAGTTGTATATTACGCATGGCGAACTTCGAGCTTCAGAAGTAATCGTGTATAAGCTGATAACTATGGACTCGGAGCTGAGCATAAACGTCAAACATTTTGTGTAGTCAGGATCAGTTTCGGAAATTTGAAAGAGAGACAAGCACAACGACAGTGACGCACAAAACGTTATATTACAAGTTTAAGTGAGCGAGTGAGTTTGAGGTGGGATTCAATAGTATGGATACCGAGCTCAGCATATATACGTCAAACATTTCATGTAGTTAGGACCAGTTTTCGTATTTATGGAGAGATAAAAGCACAACGACTTCGACGCACAAAACCTTATACTAGTTGAGTGAGTGAGTGAGTGAGTTGAAACTGGTGTCTTCTGTAAGGGGATTCGGCATATACGTCTAATATATTTTGTAGTCAGGACCAGTTTCTGTATTTATGGCGATATACAAGCACAATGACGTCGACGCACAAAACGTTATATCAGTAACGGGGTTGAGGCTGTAAGTGTAGTTTTGTTGGCAATATTCACGCCATCTGGCGGCGGATGTACACAAGACAGAAGCTTCACACGACTCCATCGATAATGGCACTCGGTACCTCGAGCTCAGTGTGAGGACCCAAAGCTACCTCACCTCTCCTGTACACGTTTAAGTATTGTGTAAATTAGCATACCATTAGAATAAAGGACACGTATTATCAACCACATTATTACATTATTTATTTGTGAATGACAATGGAAAGCGTTTCGTGATCGGATCGTCCTTGGAGACCAGGGCCCCGTTCCACATATATCGTAGCGCTACGACTGTCGTACCTCCCATACTGCAACATAGACTTACGACAGTCGTAGCGCTACGATAGCTTTGTGAAACTTGACCCACTGTACCATGATAAATGTCGTACCATAGTGTACTCGTATCGATATTCGTATCCATCGATACTTCGTTCATAGTGTTTGTTTGTTTTTCAACGCCACACTTAGTAGTATTACAGCTGGAAGTATTGAAGTCCAATGACTGACATCATGAGCATCGATTTAGGCAGCTGGGTTACGATGACCTGCATCAGCCAAGTCGGTGAACCGGACCACCGTTAGCTGCCTCTTACGGCATGCATGTGCTCTAACCTAGAGCTTCACGTGTTCTTAAAGAGTGGATGGGTTGGATTGCTATTTAACGCCACTTTCAGCAATATTTAAGCGGAGGTCTGTAAATATTCGAGTCTGGACCAGACTATCCAGTGATCAACATTCAACAGCATGAGCATCGATCTACGCAACTAGCATACGATGACATGTGACAACCACGTCAGCGAGCCTGACCACCCGACCTTACGACATGCATGGGCTACTGAAGACCAATTCTAACACGGGTCTTCACGGGTCTCTTTAAGAGTGAGACGCATCGTACGACAAAGTTCTTTATACACATCCATGTACTACAGCAGCGCCACGAAATTTTGTTCCACTAGTATGACAACAATAAGAATAATATATATCATAGTCCATTTATACTGCGCATTTATCCATGGTCAACGAGTACAGAACACTCCCTGTGGAGAATAAAATCGGTTGCCTGTCAGGCTCTCAAGGTTCAATTTCAGCCTACCATCGTATCATAACCAGGAACATGTGTATATCATTACACACACGTAAACTGAAGGACAAAAGAAAGCATACACTTGACCATTGGATTTGACCAACGTCATCCAGACGTTGCCAAGCTGAATACAGTTTCCGAAACATTTCAAACGTAAGGAGCGAATTACACGTTGAACTATGATCTTGTATATTTCATTATCTCCCACCATCAAACCCGGGTGTATACTTTCGTTTGTCCGGTAGTGTAGTAGATGACAGCATTGTATTGGTTTGCAAGACTCGTGTATGTTACATTTGTTGTCCAATTTAATGTGACTAAGTGGGCCAAGAAACCACGACTGAGTACGGATAGTAATGTCTCTTCTTTGTAATAGGATCCGCTGATCGACTTTCATGGTTTTTTCTTCCTAATACAACTGCGAAACCATCTCAGTGTTGGTTTAATTGCAGTTTATTTCTACAGAATGAGAATCTGAGTAAGTTCGACTGATCATATCGTCGAACATGATACGTGCATGGTGTTACGGTTGGAAACCGCGACACGCTTCCTGTTTTTACCTGAGGAATTTAGATCAGTGTTGTTTACACAGACACGAAGGTGACAAGTTGACGTGACTGGGTGCGAAAGTTATACAACTTAAAAATTATGTTTTCACGCCGCCTTTAGCAATATTTCAGGACATAACAAATGTGCTCCACACGCTGTACCCATTAAAAGTCGAACCCAGGCATTAAACGTGACGCGCTAACGCTTCATCCACTGGGCTACACCTCCACCGCGACACCCAGTATTGCTTTAGATCGACCTGTAATTATTTGAGCTATTCACGACAGTTCAACGTAATCAAAAAGGTCATGCTTTAACCATCCGATCCTCATTAACGGCTCTTCAGTAAATCATTGCATATTTGAGCCGTACTTAGGAAAAGAAATTGAACTTATTTCAATAAAATATCAATTTATTTCCAGTAAATGCTCCATATTGGAATAGGCAGTATGTAAAGATAGAGTGAACAAGTGTGTACCGTCGCGGTCGAGTTCATGGCACTGACACAGCGACGCTCTTTCACGTGTGTGTATGTGTGCTTGCGTGCGTGCGTGTGTGCTTGCGTGGATATTTGCATTTCTTCTTTGAGTGGCATTTTAGAAGTTGGAAAATACAATATAGACAAACGATATGGATAACACCTTCAGATACTTTATTTCGTGAGTGCAGTACCTGCTTGACTAAGGTACAAGAATCTGTAGCGAAACGTAGCAGTCACGATATAAAGAAGTTTTTATTCAAAAGGTTTTGTGTCTATCATATGTGCATTTGCCTGTATAAGTAAGAACTTCAGCCGGTTTAAAGGCAGGGGTCCATTGCTGATACCATGCCTCAGATCTACATGTAACATACACAGTATACTCTCTCCGAGCCCACCGTACCTTTTGTTAACCCTACAGTATCGGGAACCAGGCAGTGTAACTCCGAGCCCACCGTACCTTTTGTTAACCCTACAGTATCGGGAACCAGGCAGTGTAACTCCGAGCCCACCGTACCTTGTGTTAACCCTACAGTATCGGGAACCAGGCAGTGTAACAAGAACCATGGAAACGGGTTTTGGTTGGTTGGTTGGTTTGTTGGTTGGTTGGTTGGTTGGTTTGTTGGTTGGTTGGTTGGTTGGTTGGTTGGTTGGTTTGTTGCTTAAGGTCGCACTCAGCAATATTCCAACTACAGACTCGTGCAAAAAGTATTCGGACACTTGATGTAATTTCCATAGACTTACATGTTAATTTAGTGTAGCATAAATAATTTTCTTGAATTTAATTTTCGTAAGATCCAAGTCAAATTTTGCACATTTGTGAGGAATCGTCTTACCTACAATCAAGTAATTTCTGTTTCATTTTCCGTTGCTCATTTATCGAATGGCAACAATTTAATCAACAATTGTAGAGTCCCGTGAACTCCTTTAACATGGCGGCCTATGCGATTGTGCATTGTGGAACCGTACGTAAGTTGATAAATGTGATGTCATTAGTTAAATAGTGGTCGGAGAATTGAACTGAAATTATGTGCACAGAGCAGAGATGATTTCAAATTTGCCTGTCAAATTTGACAAAGATCCACCATAAACTCACTTCATGAAAATTATTTATGCTACACTTAAATAACATGTAAGTCTATGGAAATGACGTCAAGTGTCCGAATACTTTTTGCACGACTCTGTACATGGCGGCGGCCTGTATATAATCGAGTCTGGACCAGACAATCTAGTGATTAACAGCATAAACATCGAATTACGTAATTGGGATGCGATGGCATGTGTCAACCAAGTCAGCGAGCCTGACCACCCGATGCCATTAGTCGCCTCTTACGACAAGCATGGGTTGCTGAAGAACAGTTCTAACTCGGATCTTCACGCGTAGAATTGAAAGAAATAGATTGTGTCTTCGCTTAATTGTTTCGCAATGTTTGTCTACAAAGTAAGACACTGATTTTCAGTATCTTATTTCAGTTACTTCAGTCTTTGAATGGCGTTTACAAGTGACACACATAAGCGAGGTGTTTGGATGTCCACTTCTTTATTATCAGGAATACAGCGTTTCCGAGTACTTTGACATTCCCAGAAGACAGCATAAGCACATACTAGTAGCTCCGTAACGTTGTCCTACTTATAATTATATAAGTTGGCATCCAAATATTCCCTCCTTTATTTATTCCAGTTGTTTCTCCCTATGGTTAATTCTGACTCGATCGCCATGTTTATTTGTAAACAGTGACAGTAATATCACCTGACCTTCATATCTGCATCATTACCAGTGTATAAGGAGGACGGATGCCGTGTTTATTCGTTAAATCTGTCCTGTCGAGAAACCAATCATTATCTGATATATTCTGGAATTACCATAACACGTGGGACAGAACATTGTGTTTATTCACGAACAGAACAATATCCTTCTGTTCATTTGTTTGTAATGTTCAACAATATTTTCCTTGCGTTACTATTCTAACGTGTAAACCCCTTTACTGTGAACTGACAGTTGCATATGTACAGCATCCATAATTATAAATACTTAATTGTGAGTTAAGTATGGGCTTCTCTTTGTTCTGGGACTCGTTAAGTGATGACACGTCCCCGGGAAGGCCACGTACATTCTCACATCAAACGTGGATCATAGCCGCATTGACATAGTTTGCATTCCAGATTCATATACCATTATCTCAAATGTCACCACCACATCTCCTGCTCTTTGTTGCATATATACATCATAAATTTGTTCTTATACTCACCGTATATTGTTTGTGTATAGTTGCAGTGTTTGTTGCATATGCAATCTGTACATTTGTCTCACATTCAGTGTACACGTGTTGGATATACGCAATATACCGTTGTTGCATATACTTACTGTACAGTTTATGACTACACAGCATACATTTGATCCATACCCGGCTTATATACGTTGCATATACTATACCCTTTTGCATTCATTCAACGTTCCAGTGTTGCGTATACTTAGTGTACAACTGCTTTGCATATACTCAACGTACGAGTGTTGAATACATCCAGTGCGCTTTTTTGCATATACTCAACGTACGAGTGTTGCAAACACCCAGTGTACTCTTTTGCATATATTGAACTTACAAGTGTTGCGTATACTCAGTGTACATTTTTTGCATATACTTTTGCATTACATATATAAATTCATCTCGCGATGATCGGCCAGCACAGGATGGCAGCTATTCCCAGGATTCCCCTTTAACTTTCACATTTTATACTGCAATCTGGGGGCAGCCATGTATTCCTTATTTCTATCAAATATTACCAAAGCATTTCTAAATGTTAGCCGTCATGGTATACGAACTATATACTGAGGACACTGGTGCGGATTACCTTGCTATCAGCATTCTTACACGTCATAGCATTGCCTCCCCACGGACTGAACCGAGTGGACCCGATCTTTTCACAGTGTGTCACGTCCGTGTGCGCCATCCTTTGTGACGGACGGAAGAAATCTACGGTTCATCCTGAGGGGTTTTCCAATTGGTTAAACATACTTTTTGACAAATGTGTGAAACTGTTAGGTGAAAGTTATGTTACGGCTTTGAAAATGCACCC